AAACGAGCTTGACTTTAGCTCGGTCATGAAGAGTGCCAAACCACCTCGGTCGTTAAGGCTAACCAAGGAGCCCAGTCGCTCAAGCGGACCAGATGTTAGCCTGGTTGAACGGCCAAGTCATTTGGTTACCACGGTTTCTACTAAGGTTGGGACAAACTGCTTATTTGTTCGGTCCGAATGATTTTTTGGATCAAAGGAAGACCTGGAGCCCGGTTCGCCCCAGATCTTCAGTGTTCATCAGACAAAATGAAGAACAGCAAGGAGAGTGAAGGGTTAGGGACTGTTTTGGGTGCCTATGTCCTAAAACCTACGGATTTAGTGCCCTAATATGCTAAATACCAAGTGAAATAACAACAAAAGGGGTTGAAGAACTTACCAGTTGAGAGCAGTGGCTACTTCCTCGAACACAAACTCAGTAATGGCAAGAAAAGAAGGGCAGAAGCTCTGGATCAACAAGGATGAAGGAAAATCAATAAAGACGAAATGATGAAGGAAATGGCGTATATAAGGGAGGAAGACCGCCAAAAATTTGAATCTAAAAAGACGTGATGTTTGGCTGTTCGAGGCCAATCAGCACACGACACGTGTCCCTATTGACGGCGGCGTCAGTATTGAAGAGACAGGATGGTGAATCGAGGCGTCGACCGGGCAAGTTTTGAAGACAGGCATGTCAACTAGCCCAGTCATCGTATTGCAAACCGAGGACCGAGGAAGTGTTACCCCGGTCAGAATAGGTAATCCCAGTCACGCTTGCGCGGACGGAATTAAGGGGCAATTGAGAGGGAGATTTATGATCTAGATTGGGCCGTGGTAATGCCCGGACAGATTTGGGCCGAACAAGATTGGGCCGAGGTAGCACGGCCCGTGCCCTGAAAGGATTTGCTTGGTTGAGGCAAGGCGTGGTTGGACCGAGCTACTTGGCTGCATACTATAGAGGCTGGGCAAGTGAGGTGTCCGGCGCCAGGAATGGCTTTGTTGTTCCGCGGTTCGTGAGTTAGCCCGGTAGGAAGGCCGGCGGCAAACCCGCATGGACTGTCCTGAGCTCGACTATGCCGGGATGCAAACGAGCACGGTCCTCATTAAGCACGGCGAGCGAAGCGCTCTGGCCAGCTGCACAGCACGGCCTTTGATAGCCGAGAAGATTCAGCCCGGCTGCCGAGCTCCCAGTAGAGTGGGCTGGCAGTTTGGTTAGGTGGTGTTCAGCAAGATTTGTGCTGACAGATGGGATAGCAGCACCACGTGTCGAGAGACGAATGTGAGTAGATTTGGGGCGCAGAAGGTATATAAGCGGGTCTGCGCCCCCCATGCCCAGACAGATGACAATTTGGTGAGAAAAACACTAAACACAACTCAGTCCTCTCTTTCTCTCTCGATCCCTATGTGTGTGTCTAACTTGATCGTCGGAGGAGCTTTCCGGCCACACACCGCCGGGTAGCTCACTGCTATTGTGCTCGCAGGTCGATCAGACAAACTGGAGCATGGAAGAAAGGAGTGCGGGTTTGCCTGAATATTTGCTCCCCGCACAGTGTAGAATTAACTCTCACTCACTCAATTTATTTTTCACATGACATGGTTGTAATTAATGATAAATTAAGCTCTAAAATAAAAAGGCATATGTATCCTCTTTTTGTTATTGTCCATCTAAATAAAAAGGTGAAAAAGTCCAATCATTTTTATTCTTTTCTTTAAAAGGATCCAAAAACCGAGTGTAATTATATTAGTATAGATGTAATTTAAAAAAAGAAAAAAAATCAACTAATCAAATGTGTAGTATAAAATAACGCCATGCTAATTTTTGTGTCAAATTTAGGACGAGAAATAACATTTGCTATTTCAACACAATATATAGTGCAATGTTAGAGTGAATTTTAATTCTAGCACTGATACATCTTAAATAACATTATTTTGGAGATAATCTTAATTCATGACTGCACCAACAATTTGATTTGACAAATCCTATGTACTCTGTCTAATTCAATAATTTTTCCTGATTCATAAAACAAACTGTTTCCTTTAAATTTCAGAGCAACATCATGGAGAAGAATTACTTGGAAACTTGAAGAGGTTCCAATTCAGAGAACTTCAAATTGCCACAAACAACTTTAGCAGCAAGAACATAATTGGGAAGGTTGGTTTTGGGAATGTGTACAGAGGGTACATCCAAGATGGGATTGTTGTCGCTGTAAAAAGGCTCAAAGATGGAAATGCTGTTGGTGGGGAGAACCAATTTCAAACCGAAGTCGAGATGATCAGCCTTGCAGTTCACCGGAACCTCCTCAGGCTCTATGGGTTATGTATGACTGCAACAGAGAGGCTTCTGGTTTATCCCTACATGTCCAATGGGAGTGTTGCTTCGCACCTCAAAGGTAAAAAGAACCATCAAGATTGCTATTTAATAATTCTCTTTGAGTACATTGGAATAGAGTATTGAGAAATTAGACGACATAGTATCCTGTGCCTTTCTTCAATTTGTTTTTGAAAATTTCCACACATATAAAATGTACCTGAATGCACATATGTGACTCAAACTGTTTGCAACTATAGATGTAAACATTTTGAGTCACATTTTGTTTATCATCTTGTGAAATTCTTTGTGTGTGTATAGCTGATTGTTTTTTTTCTAGTTTTAGTTGTTCTTTGAACTTTTTCCCAATTGAAAGTTGCTTTTTTTTTTTTCTTTCTCAAATTCTTTGAATTGCTAATGTGACTATATTAGGTTTTAAATATTGAACGATCGTAGACTTTTGAAATTGATAGTTTCCAATATATTGGTCGATATTATCCCATATCAGTCGATATATGATCATATCACCAATAATGATACGTATCTTGATACTGTTATTTAAAACAATGACCTATATCTTGTTTGTGCAAACAAAAAATTTAGGTACTTAACCATTAGATTCATAGTTTTCATCTCCTTTCAGCCAAACCAGCCTTGGATTGGGTACTAGAAAAAGCATTGCCTTGGGTGCTGCAAGGGGTTTGCTATACCTGCATGAGCAATGCGACCCCAAGATTATTCACCGCGATGTCAAGGCTGCAAATATATTGCTTGATGAGTACTGTGAGCCAGTGGTAGGAGATTTCGGATGGGCAAAGCTTTTGAATCACTGGGATTCACGCATTACGACAGCTGTCAGAGGAATTGTGGGGCATATAGCTCCAGAGTACCTCTCGACAGGCCAGTCATCAGAGAAAACAGACGTTTTCGGGTTTGGAATTCTTCTACTTGAATTGATCACCGGTCAAAGAGCACTTGAGCTTGGGAAAGCTGCAAACTAGAAAGGTGCTATGCTTGATTGGGTGAGGAACACATAAATGTTTTAGATGAATTCTTTTGAACTGTAAATAGTTTTATTTTTAATTTTTTTTTGCATCAGATATTTTGTTGTTGCAGATAGTAACTTTTTTTTGGGGGGGGGGGACCATTGCAACTGCAAAAGAGATGACCCAAAAAAGTTGGACTCAAAATGCCCTTTTTCTAGTAGTGATTTGCATTGTTTGCTCTTTTTTTAGACAATTTATCCCGCCAACACTGAAAAGTACTAATTGCGACAACAAAGTAACTTACGCAAAAAGCCATTTTCCTAGTAGTGTCATTAGCATTGAATGAATGGCTATGATTGCAGGTTACAAAAATTCATCAAGAAAAGAAACTTGATACATTGGTTGACAAGGATCTGGAAAACAACTATGATAGAATTGAGCTCGAAGAAATGGTAAGAGTGGCTCTCCTATGTACCCAATATCTTTCAAGTCATAGGCCCAAAATGTCTGAAGTAGTTCGAATGCTTGAGGGAGATGGGCTTGTGGAGAAATGGGAAGCTTCCCAGAGAGCCAAGGCAATGAGTAGAGCAAATGAATTTTCTTCTTCAGAGCGATACTCTGATCGAACTGATGACTCCTGGTTGCTTGTCCAAGCAATGGAGCTCCCAGGACCACGGTGAGAAATTTCTTGAAGAGAAAGAAAGAAGTCAAATAAGCATAAAAAGAAATTTTCATAGCAGGACTTTGTGTTGCAAAGCTGATTTGAGATACTGACAAGCATTTACTAGTCTTTTTTTTGTGTTGATGAGTGAAGTTTTTTTTTTTTTTTTTTTTTTTTCCAATTTTTTTTTTAAGTAGTTTGAAGGTCATTTTTAAAAAGAGAATGTTTTTGGTAGAAAAATATTTTTTTGCCGAAATAAACAGTGCAAGTGAAACTGATTAGTGTAATTTGAAGTGGCCTCCAAAAAGTAACAATACATAAACAGAAAAATTATACAAAAAGTATGATGATATATTTGTATTTATCCATTTCCAAAATCAAAAGAGCATTATAGAATGACTTATTATTTCAAAAATATTTGTCACATTGTTCAAATATGCAACCAAATATATATATATATATATATAAAAGTTATTTTCGATAAATATTTTCAACCAAAACAAATGGAACAAATGGAGCCTAATGTTGTGTTTGGTTGGGGGATTTGGAAAAGGAAAGAGAAAAGGTGTGTGAAACTAGGTGAAATGTAATTATATTTTATTCACATTTCACTTTCTTTTTTTATTTTCCTTTCCAAATCCCTCTCCAAATCCCCTAACCAAACACAGCGTAAGGGAATTTAAGAGGAGAAGAAACTCTCTGACGTATGTAGATCACAACGTCAATGCCAAGTCCCTGCCTAATTGATTACCTGAAATGAGGAATAGGGAATGTGATGGGGAGAACTTGATATAAAGTTAAAAGTAGCACCTAAATTCAATCACAAACCTCATTGCCAAATTTCATACAATTTAAACAGTAGAAGAATTTTCATTTTTCCTAGAAGGAAATCATTCTTTCGCCCTCGGGCTGTTCCACTTTCCCTCAGTGAATGTCAATAGCAGTAATTATTTTTAAACATGGACCTATCAGACAACAAACACAAAAAGATCATCTCTTTGTCACACTCAAACCAAAGAGGCCAAAAAGGACACAAACCATTTGCTAAACTTGATCTTCATCTTTATATTCAAATTTGATTTCTGCTTGAGGTGACAAGCGTGGAAATTGTCACCTCATTCAAAATTCTCAATCCTTCGTCAACAACCTTCTCTGAGTCAGTCTGAATAAACATTGTCTCCAACACGGGTGATATGGCTAATAGAAGCTTAATAAACTTCAATTCAGACCGTGTGCCATATAGACCCCCCAACTGCACTACTTGAAGTTGATTTAAAGAGACACCTGACCAGTCTTTTATTTCTAGAAGTTCCAGAACAGGATAAATAACAACAACAGTTTCAGTACTTGGTGCCTGGAAAGAAGAAAAGGGAATTGTGTCTCAGCCTAAAGATTCAAAATATACATTATAAACATAGGAAATAATAATATCTGTTGTTGCTTACGACAACTGTAATTTTTTCCAAGTTTGGAGAGCTTCTGATTAAACAAAGAATAACTGAGATCTCATTTACTTCTTCAAAACAAACAAAAAACAACTTGAGAGTTTTAAGGTTGTTCAAAGAATTTGGAAGCCTCTTTGGTACACCACCTGCAGACATGCACTAGAAGCAAAAGAAGAACAAAAAAAACGATCAAAGAAACATGTGTTAACTTACTTATAACATCCTGCCAAACAACAACAACAAAAGAAAAAAAGAAGTGGTTTACTAAGCTAATCTTACCGAACAGTGTCATACTCCAATTGCAGAAACTCAATGACAGGTAGACTACCAAAAAATGTGACCAATTTGGAAGTTTTTGCCTGCGTAATTACATCCACATTCATGAAGTCCTTTAAACAAATAAAAACACTTTCAAGTCGAGCAGTATTTTTTAAACAAATAGAACAGGCATGGACTTCACAGCATAAGAATCTAAGATTAGGAGCATTAATTTCAAGGGAATCTAAATTGCCGGATCTTTTAAGTGACAGTTTCTCAAGTAGTGGGCAACTGGAGATTAAACTTGAAAGTATGTCAGCAGTAACAACAACTTCGTAAAGCACCAGTTCAAGGAGCCTGCTAAATCCTTTAACTTCAGGTGGAGATTTAAATACACAAGAACGAAGCCTCAAACACCTAATTTGTTCACATGAAAATAATGATGACGGCAATTTATAAGGGTCACCCTTCCGAATCAGAAGGGCGAATTCCTGGATACCATTGTTTGAAAGGAAAAGTATCAATTGATTGATCTCCGAGCAACTTTCCAGTCTAGATAAATTGAGTATGAACTTGGGTATTGGTCCACGATGAAGTAATAGAACTTGATAAATAGTCATCATAAGTTCAGTCTTGGTTTTTCTGGTTGATTCTCTGCAAAAGTTATCATCAAATACAAGTCGGGGAAGTTTTGTCCAGATATACCTCCATTTCTTTGACAAAACACTAGTCCTCACCGCATCCTGTATTGGCAAACACACTAAGATTGTTTCTTTTACACTTTGTGGAAGATTACTGATTATGTCTGAAGTTGATCCACGCATTTCCTTCATGTTTCTCTCCATATTTCTAACTGTTCTGACAATCAACAAGCTTAACCAAATCAAAGTAAGTATCAAGCTCTCCAAGGTAATGTTTTTATTGCATTTCTTGGCACAAAATAAAAGAGCAATAAGGAATAACTCATTACCATATCTCAGGTTACAACATTCTATTAACCCAAATTTGCAGTTATGGAAAGAAAAAAGAGAACCTCCAGAGAAAAATTTCCAAAATAACACAACTCCTAAAAATCAATCTAATCAGTAACAGTTGGATGGAACAAATGCACACAACTTGTAGACAACAATCAGGAATTTAGCTGCCACAAGCATACCATTGGTTGATAGTGTGGAGTCTGTGAGATAGTAACTAGAATAGGAAGTAGAAAACAACTGATGGAGTCATTTTTGAGAGGAAAAAACAATTTTCGGAGTGTCGTTGCCTACAAAATAATGTTTAAAGATTTTCATAATATATGTATGTAAATAGATATTTTAGTTAAATGAATTAAGAGAGAGATGTGACTCTTGAGTTTAAACTAGAGAGGCATGACTTTTGGGTTTAAATCAAGAGGTAGGAGGACTGTTAGATTTAAACAAAAAAGTATGACCTACCAACAAGTTGATTCTTTATTGCATTAGCTATTAATAATAGATATTATAACTATAATAGTCATAATGTCCTTGGACACGAAAATTAGATGAATCCGATAGAGAGTCAATGTAACATGAGTCAATTCTCTTCACGAAATCAGTGAGCAAACCAAACTAAACCTTGCGTCCAAATCAAGTGGGATCAATATGAACATTTTATGCCATTTCACTCTAGGAAAGGTTATATGCTCAGTTAAATAAAATAAATATATGTAATTTTTTCTACCATATCTTTTATCAATTTAGGTCTTCTCCTTCTTCTAACATTTCCATTTACAGTGATCGTATTACTTTTCTTGACCATTGGGTCTACAACTCTTCATTGACATAATTGAAGAGCAAATGCGGGAAAAAATTTATTTTTGTCCTTATGATGTGCAAGTGCATATTATAGCATGTCCCTAATAGGGAATGTTCATTCTTTAATCCATGGATTCTATTTTGAACCATTAGTAATGATCTTCAACAATATGGTATGAGGGAGAGTTATCTTGAATCTTTTAATAAATTTGGACGTGCTTGAAATGAAATGAAGCTTTAGTGAACTATCATGAGATGCGGAGTGCAAATATGTAAACATGACACAATTCTCACATGCACTCCATTGATTGAAAAATTTAGTAGATGAAGGGGGTCAAGTGTTGCAAATTTTAGTTAAGGTAAAGAGACACGGGGCAACAAGGTGTAATTTGCCCTATATTTAGGCATACATGCAACAACTCACTACATTTGGTGAGTATTATATAAACTCCTTAAAATAGCGATTATACTAGCGAGTTTGTTGGAGTTAAATTTTTTGATTAATCATTCTCTAATTTAGTTGAAAAACATAGATGAGTTGTTTGATGTACTTACCCTAAGAATTTGAACGTTAGAGATTAAAAAATACATCATCAAATCAATATGAAATGCATATTTATAGTAACCCAAAAAAAATAAAATAAAATAAAATGGTACCAACTATTTGAGTAGAGCAAGGATCCTCTAGAGTTTTTTTTTTCCTAAAGTTTCCTAGAGTGGTGCATTGTGTGGTTGAGATTTAATGACAAGTCACATCAATTTTTCAACATTAAATCTCAACCACACAATACACCACTTTAGAAAACTTTAAGAAAAAAATACTCTAAAAAATCCTTGGTGATTTGAGTAAGTTGAAATAAATTCCTTACAGTACGGAATTAAAGAAACATCAAAGAAACCAAACCAAATCAAATCTTATAACTGAGTTCCTCAATCAAAACAAAACAAGATTAGATTTCAAAAATTAAAAAAAAAACAAATTTAAAATAAATAAATAAAGTGATAAAGTGAAATGAAAGATCAAAGAAGAAATCTTTACTTGGGTGGTGGTGGTCTTTGTCAACCTCCTCGTATCATGGTTGCTTCTATTTCTACTTGGAATCCCTGTTACCAAATTCCAAATGTTAGAAAAGTACTGACTTCAAAAGTATCAAAATACAGAGAGAGAGAGAGAGAGAGAGAGAGAGAGAGAGGGTACTGTGGCCAAGGAGGCAGAGGAAACTGGTTGAAGAAAATGGGAGAGAAAGAGATGCGCAGAAAGGATTTTCCTTTTTATATTGCATGGACACGTGGCAATACGAAAAGAATCTGAGAGACAGAGACGTGTGAACTGGAAATTGGGACAAGGCTCTTAACCCCACTATATTTTTTTCCTTTTTTAAGTTTTTGAAAAGTTTGGACAGGTTGAGAGTTTGTCTAAATTAGTGGGAGTTGGATTTGTAACCCAAGCTTATCGTAATTGTTTGAGTTGCTAAGATTTGAATCACATTACCATGGCTCCAGATTGCCTCTCAATAGGCCAGTCGTTAGAGAACTTGAGTTGACTACCAGTCAAAGAGTACTTGAGTTCGGGAAACAACTATGCTCAATCAAGTGAGGAACACAAATTAGTGTGTTTAGTTTTAGTTTCTTCAATTCAGTTTTTTGAAAATTAATTTTTTTTTAAATAGTAAAATATTTGTAAAAAAATATTTTAAAAAATTAATAAATACACAAAAATAAGAAAAATATACTAAATTTTCGTATTTTTTTTATTTATATTTTTTGGTATTTAGTGCATTTTTTTAAAAACAAATTCTCAAATATTATACTTTTTAATTGTATTTATGTTAGGTGTGTCTAAAATTAAAAAAAGTTTACTTAAAATATTAAAAAAATTTATTGAAAACATTAAAATAGAAAAAATAAAAAAAATTAGAATTTTCTGAAAACTAAAACCAAACAAGATGAATGTTTTTCAAGGAAATTTTTTAAACTCTAAATAGTTGTGTGTGTGTCTGTGTTTTTTTTCCCATTTATTTTGCCATCACGAATAGTATTTTTTGGGGAGACCATTTGTCCCGCTTATGCCAAAAAAAAATAAATAATAAAATAAAAATTGTGATAGCAAAAGAGAAGACACAAAAAAGTTGAAAGCATAAAACTCTTTTTCTAATAGTGATTTGCATTGGTTGCCTTTTTTTGCGATCATTTGTCTCGCCAACATCAAAAATTATTTGCGACAACAAAAACTTATGCAAAAAGTCATTTTCTATTTATTTTTCGCTTAAAAAGTGAGAAGGATTTGCAGGAAGTGTTCAACCCAAGATGTGATTCAAATGTAAATCTAACACTTCAACTATGGCACTGCCAAAATTGTGTTTTTTCAGTCAGTCATCATCATAAACTTTCCACGTGATTCATGGCAAACCAAACCATGCAAAAGTTGTATAGTACCATAAGCTTTAAAAACAGGGGAACATATATAATCCTAACAAATAGAAAGTTACAACAATTAAAACTGCGTTCATTTGGATAGAGTGGTGTTTTGAAAAGTTGATAAAAAGTCAACTTTTTTAGCTTTTTTGACTTTTTTTGCTAAAAAAATTGGCTTTTTTTCTGACTTTTTGTGGCTTTTTTTTTTGTGTAAAAAAGCTGAAAAGCTAAAAGCTGACTTTTTACCATACTCCCAAATTGCCTAACGTATTCCGACATTTAAAATAACAAAAAGACAAAAGTCAATAGAAAATATTTTCAACAAAAAACAAGCATAATTAGATGAAAACATTTTCCACTCCGAAAAAAATGAAAGACATTTTTTTGAGCTAAACTATTACTAATGACACCATCAGAACCCACCATAGCCACTGCCTCCAACCCACCTCTTTGCAAAAATAATTTCTGGAAAAAATTATGTAAAAAATATTTTCTGTCAAAATAAATAAAACCTAACAAAAACACTTTAAGAGGAGAATAAACTGTGTATAGTGTGTACATCACAGTGTCAACGCCAAGTTCCTGCCTAATTGATTACCTGAAATGAGGAATAGGGAATGTAAACTTGATATAAAGTTAAAAGTGGCACTTAAATTCACAATCACAAACATCATGGCCAAATTTCAACCAAATTTCATATAATTTAAATTGTTGAAGAACTTATATTTTACCTAAAAGGAGAGCAATTTTTTGCCCTCAAGATGTTCCACTTTCCCTCAGTAAATGTCTTAGCCGTTTTAATTTTTAAAAATAGACCTATCAGACGATGAACACAGAAAAGATCATCTCTCTTGTTGGGATCTGGGATCCCGTCCAAGACCTTATAGAAATTATTCCATGCAGAAAAACACACCCACACTCAAGGAGACACAATATTTAACGTGGTTCGGCCTCAATGCCTACGTCCACGGGAGAGTAGCCGGTTATCACTATAACAATGGAGATATTACAGAAAGATTACAATAGAGGAGGAGCTCACACTCTCCTCACTCACCCACTCACCTGTCTTCCTCGCTCACACCGAGGGAGACGGTCTCTCCGCCTCACATATCTCACTCTCTGTGGCTTGCTCTGCTCTCACTCTCAAACCCTCCCCTCAGCCTCCATTTATACACTAACAGAATGGAGATGGAGAGGCTGGCCTTGCATATGGCCAGCTATCTTGTGTGTTGGCTTCACATGGCCAGCTCATGTGTGTTGGCTTCCTAACATGGCCAACTCATGTAGCACGTGGAGGATCACCCCTCACATGGGGTGATGATATTCCAGAAATCACCCCCTCAACCCATGTGAGGTGATCCACAACACACATTGCTGCTAATCTTGTCACGCCCAAATTCAACATAGTTTGCATCTCCTCACTGAGACGCTGCATCCCTTGAAAGCTAGAGATAATACACCAGAGATACAAGAGGAGGAGGGAATCCTACATCCTCAACTCAACTCACACCACTCTCTGATTTGGAGAGAACCGCCGCTCCTATCTCCCACAGATCTCTTCCACGCTTCCTGTCTCGGATGTCTTCAGCATAGTCTGCATCTCCTCACTGATATGCTTGCACCCCCTGAAGCTAGAGATAATACACCAGAGATATAAGAGGAGGAGGGAATCCTACATCCTCAACTCAACTCACACCAATCTCTGATTTGGAGAGAGCCTCTGCTCCTATCTCCCACAGATCTCTTCCACACTTCTGTCTCGGATGTCTATACCTGCTATGCTTGAACTTGCGCAACCAAGATATCCGACACCCCCTGATTGGATGTCCTGCACCCCCTGCTGGGATGCCCTTGACTGTCATGCATTACCGTGCAACTCCTTGCATGATGAACACGGGAGCAACTAGAAAACTTCAGAGTTTGACACATCAACATCCTCAATTTTCCTTGCTCGGAGCTTATTTCTGAACTTTCAGCTTTTGCCCTCTACACTTCTGAACAACCTCCTGGCGTTTCCACATACGCTTGTTGTCTGTGCTGCAATCCTGATGTTCGGTTCTGTCTTACTTGTACGTCCGTACTGATGTTTGACAGTTAGCCCTTCTGCCAAGACAACTTTCACCGGTCTGTACAAGTTACCACCATGCAACTCCGTGCATAGTGCTCGCACCCATGGCTTCTGGTCTCCCTGCGTCAAGCTTGCTTGAGAGATCTGCATCAACTCTATCATCTGCTGCCATGGAACTCAAGAAACCACCATAGAGAAAAAAGACTTGCCACTCCTTGACGCGCACTCTTGCGTTTTACCTGTCTCAATTTCTCTGTCTGGAAGTTCCTATGAACTTTCAACAACCCGTTGCTGCATACTCCTCTTGCGCCTCTGTACGATACTCTACCGTACCCTTGCACTGCTGCACATCTGCATTTGTGCTTCTGCGCTTAGTATGCTCCTCTGCAACTATTGTTCTACACGTCCACGTACCACCAGTACTTACTCGTATACAGTAGCTCCAACAGCCACAACATTTCCCTGAGCCTGAACTGGTTGCCAAATCATCTATTCATCGATGAATGGTCTTCTCTTTTGATTGAACCAGATCCTCCAACGAACTCCGGAGATAATCATCTTTGCAATCCTCTGATCACCCCTGACCAATCCTGATCTCCCTTGATTTGCCATTTGATCAAGCCTGATCTCCTCTGGTCTTCAATGATCTATCTCAATCTGTATCTGGTTGTCCAATCTGGCCAGAATCTGCCCATTCTAACCTCTTCAGTGAATCCGCAGCGTTCCACAATATCCAGTAACCTTCTTTCGAGTATTGAAGATGACAAACACCCATGTTTTGACAATCTTTTCAAACCGTTCAGAATTTCACTATTCTGACCTCGCGGTTGCGTCCGGAGCGGTCCGTTTAGCTAGAACCAATCTTTGCTGCATTTTCGGGGACCTCACTGAACACTATCCCCGAAAGCTGGGCCACACCACAATTTTCTGAAAATTCTGGGCCAACTTGCAATTTTCAGAAGTTCAAGGAATATTCCGTGTACCAACAAAATATTCCGTCCACTGCCCCTAATGTGGTTCATCACTTTAATCTGCCTTCTTTTTACAGAAACTCCGTCTCCAGAATCTGACCGTATGGATGTGTCCGGAATACTCCAAATAGTCGAAAATCACTATTGGATCACCAAAAACGGACTCCAAATGGCTTAAATCTAGCCAAAACATTTTGTACGCCTCAGATCTGAGGCTGCACCGTAGCCGCGAAGCACTGGATCTTTCTTCCTGCGGCTACACCCTTGCCGCGTAGCACTGGATCCCTCCCTGCCTCTGGTTGACTGGTCAACACCACTGCTGACGTGGCAGACGCGTGGCACACCTGCGCTGACGTGGCAATGCTCTATGGACACGTGTCGATGACGTGGCTGGCCACGTGGCGGTGACCTGGCTGATAACGTGGCAACCACGTGGCAACTCTTGCTAACGTGTCGCCACGTGTTGACGACGTGGCACGCTGACGCGGCATGCGCGTGTCTTACACGCGCCTTCCCCCACTCGTCTTCTTCCTTCAGCCGCGCGTGGGGCGCGTGCGTAAGACTGGGCCGACGCGCCGACTCTCTTCACGGCGCGTGGGGGCGCGTGCAGTGACTGGGCCTCACGCGCCTTCTTCAGGAGGCGCGTGAGGGCGCGTGGGTACTCCTCTGGGTGTCTGCTTTATATGGTTGGACTCCTCTTCTCGAGCCCTTGCTCCTGGTATATTCAAAACCTGATTTCGAGCAACTTGATTTCTGGGCAGTTTCAAACAACACGCTGTTTTTGTTCCGAAATGCCACCAACGAGGCTCTGATACCAATTGTTGAGATCTGGGATCCCGCCCAAGACCTTATAGAAATTATTCCATGCAGAAAAACACACCCACACTCAAGGAGACACAATATTTAACGTGGTTCGGCCTCAATGCCTACGTCCATGGGAGAGTAGCCGGTTATCACTATAACAATGGAGATATTACAGAAAGATTACAATAGAGGAGGAGCTCACACTCTCCTCACTCACCCACTCACCCGTCTCCCTCGCTCACACCGAGGGAGACGGTCTCTCCGCCTCACATATCTCACTCTCTGTGGCTTGCTCTGCTCTCACTCTCAAACCCTCCCCTCAGCCTCCATTTATACACTAACAGAATGGAGATGGAGAGGCTGGCCTTGCATATGGCCAACTATCTTGTGTGTTGGCTTCACATGGCCAGCTCATGTGTGTTGGCTTCCTAACATGGCTAACTCATGTAGCACATGGAGGATCACCCCTCACATGGGGTGATGATATTCAACATCTCTGTCCCACTCAAACCAAAGACGGCCAAAAAGGACACAAACCATTTGCTAAACTTGATCTTTATCTTTATATTCGAATTTGATTTATGCATGAGGTGACCAGCGTGGAAATCGTGTCACCTCTGTCAAAATTCTCAGTCCTTTGTCAGCAACCTTCGTTGAGTCAGTCTGAATAAACATTGTCTCCAGCACCAACGATATGGCTAATAGAAGCTCAATAAACTTCAATTCAGGCTATGTGCCAGATAGATTGCCCAACTCCACTACTTGAAGTTGATTTAAAGAGACATCTGATCAGTCTTGCATTTCTAGAAGTTGTAGAACATGATCAATAACATCAGCAGTTTCACACCTTCGTACCTGGAAAAAAGGAAATGGAATTGTGTCTCAGCCTAATGATTCAAAATATACATTATAAACATAAGAAATAAAAATATCTGTTGTTCTTACCACAATTGTAATTTTCTCCAAGTTTGGAGAGCTTCTAATTAAACAAAGAATAACCGAGATCTCATTTACTTCTGCAAAACAAATAGACAACAACTTGAGAGTTTTAAGGTTGTTCAAAGTAGTTGGAAGCCTCTTTGGTACACCACCTGCAGACATGTACTAGAAGCAAAAGAAGAAAAAAAAAAATCAAAGAAACATGTGTTGACTTACTTATAACATCCTGCCAAACAACAACAAAAAAGGAAAAAAAAGAAGTTGTTTACTAAGCTAATCTTACCCGAATAGTATGATACTCCAATAGCAGAAACTCAATGACAGGTAGACTACCAAAAAGCGTGACCAATTTGGAAGTTTCTGCTTCCGTAATTCCTTCCACATTAAAGATCCCCATAAAACAAATTGAAACCCATGCAAGTCTAGCAGTATTTTTTAAACAAATAGAACTGCCATAGATTTCACATACTAAGAACCTAAGATTGGGAGCGTTAATTTCAAGGCAATCTGAACTAAAGGACCTTTTAAGTGATAGTTTCTCAAGTAGTGGGCAACTGGAGATTAAACTTGAAAGTGTGTTAGAAGCAACAAAAACTCTATAAAGCACCAGTTCAACGAGCCTGCTAAATCCTTTAAATTCAGGTGGAGATTTAAATACACAAGAATGAAGACTCAAATACCTAAGTTGTTCACATGAAAATAATGATGACATCAATTTATAAGGTTCACCCTTCTGAATGGGAAGGGTGAATTCCTAGATACCATTGTCTGAAAGGAAAAGTATCAACTGATCCATCTCCGGGCAACTTTCCAATCTAGATAAATTGAGTATGAACTTGGGTATTGGTCCACGATGAAGTAAGAACTTGATAAATAGTCATCATAAGTTCAGTCTTGGATTTTCTGGCTGATTCTCTACAGAAGTTATCATCAAATACAAGTTGGGGAAGTTTTGTCCAGATATATCTCCATTTTGTTGACAAAACACTAGTCCTCACTGCATCCTGTATTGGCAAACACACTAAGACTGTTGCTTTTATATTTTCTAGAAGATTACTGATTATGTCTGAAGTTGATCCACGCCCTTCCTTCGTGTTTCTCTTCATATTTCTAACTGTTCCGACAATCAGCAAGCATAACCAAATCAAAGTACCAAGTTCCCAAGGTAGTGTTTTTATTGCATTTCCTGGCACATAATAAAAGAGCAATAAGGAATAACTCATTACCATATCTCCTGTTACAACATTCTATTAACCAAAATTTGTAGTTATGGAAAGAAAAAAAATGAACATTACAATGGCTAACAAAAATCTCATCATTCACTAATATGACAAGATCTATTGGCGATAACATGGAGTAAAAAATTATAAATAAACATTACAAAAATTACAAATTCACAAATTATAAAGGGCAAACTTCACTTTACCCCTTTGTGGTTTGGGCCGGGTGCGGATTCCCTCTTGACATTCGGAAATCACCACGTAACCCTCATGTAGTTTGTGGACTAAAACGTACAGTTAGCTTTTCCGTTAAAGATAACACATTGTGAGAGTCACGCGCTTGCAAGGAGAGTAACATTATTTTTAAGACGAAAATGCCCCTGGCATATCTTCAAATTTATAAACAATGCCATCAGATTTGTAAACCTTTACCCAGGAAAAAAAAAAAGAAAAGATGACAGATGGTTTGATCTTACTGAATATGGTTTGATCTTCATACTACCAAAAATTTTTGAGCTTTTTACTGCCTAACTCTGGTCAATCCCATTCTGGCACCACTCTCCGGTCAACCCCAGTCCAGAGCCACTCTCCGGTCAACTCCACCATGACCTCCATAGTCGACCACCCCCAGCAGCTTCAGACAACCCCAATCCAGAGCCATCGCGGCAAGCCACCGTCCAGATTATAGATTATATGTAACAAAAGTTAATAAATGCTGGTGCCTGAGACTTTGGAAGAGAAAATGTGTAGCTATATATATAATCTGTATATATGTGTATGCAAATTATATAATCTATATATATATGTATATGTATATGTATATCAAAGCTAATTTCAATTCATCAAAAAAAAAAAAAATTGATTATATAATCTATATATATATATATATGTATATCAAATCCATATATATAAATATATATCTGTGTTATGTTTAAAAAAAAAATTTGATTTTGTTTTTGCATCTACTGTATGTATATATATATTTTTTGAATTTTATCCATATATATATATATTTGTGTCATTCTATTTCAATAAGTTTCAATGGTTTGTGAAGATGAAAGATGATGAAGTGTATGTACAACTTCAGTTAACTGTATGAAAGATGATGAAGTGAAGTGTATGTCAGTTGGGTGAACTGTATGTAAGATGATGAAGATGAGAGAGAGAGAGAGAGAGAGAGAGAGAAGATGAATGAGGGTATAATTGTCAATTTACAACTTCTGTTAACAAAAGTTAGTGTGCGTTTTAATCCACAAGCCACATAAGGGTTCTGTGGTGATTTCCGAATGTCAGAAGGGGTAATTCGCACCCGGCCCAAACCATAGTGATAAAGTGAAGTTTGCCCAATTATAAATAAACAACACAAAAATTTACAAATTTAGGGCGGTTCACAATTTCTATAAGCAAATTACAATCAAGGACTTCAATGTTCCAAGTTTTTTTTTTTTCTTAGACAAATATGACTTTAGACAGACCTGGACCACCTCAAAAGATATGTGTTACAACTTAGAACAAAGATTCAAGATGACTATTCTTGGTGGGCATACAATTTAGATTCATGTATCTTTCTTTGAAGTCCCATTTGGATCCATCAACATTGAACTTCAAAGAACCAAAACAATTCACATTAATTTGAACTTGACAAACAACACCCTTAAAAATTGTACCCAAAAACTAGTTCAAACACACAAAAACACAGAGAGAGAGAGAGAGAGAGAGAGAGAGAGAGACTACAATGGAGTTAATTAACCTCTCACAGTCAACAATGAAGGAATGGCATTGAGGTTTAGTAGATGAAAATGACACAATTCTCACATGCACTCCATTGATTGAAAAATTTAGTAGATGAAAGGGGTCTAGTGTTGCAAATTTTTTGTTAGGATAAAGAGACACGGGGCAATGAAGTGTAATTTGCCCTATATTTAGGCATACATGCAACGACTTGCTACATTTGGCAAGTTACTATAGAATCTCCCTAAAAATGGCGATTGTACTAGTGAATTTGTTAGAGTTAATTTTTTTGATTAATTATTCATTATTTTAGCTGAAAAACATAGATGAGTTGTCTGTTGTACTTATTCTAAGAATTTGAATGTTTGGGATTAAAAAATACATCATCAAATCAATATGAAATGCATGTTTATAGTACCAAAAACTCACATTATTCCGATACCTCCTAAAAAAAAAAAATTAAAAATAAATAAATAAAGTGATAAAGTGAAATGAAAGATCAAAGAAGAAATCTTTACTTGGGTGGTGGTGGTCTCTGTCAACCTCCTCGTATCATGGTTGCTTCTATTTCTACTTCGAATCCCTGTTACAAAATTCCGATACAGACTTTAAAAGCGTCAAAATTCTAGGATGATAAAGATTTTGAAAGAGAGAGAGAGAGAGAGAGAGAGTACTGTGGCCGAGGCGGAGCAAACTGGTTGAAGAAAATGGGAGAGAGAGATACGCAGAAAGGGTTTTCCGCATTTATATTGCATGGACACGTGCCAATACGAAAAGAATCTGACAGACAGAGACGTGTGAACTGGAAATTGGGACAAGGCTCCTAACCCTTCTTTTTTATTTTTATTTTAAGTTCGAGTAATGGTAGACACCCAAAAAAATTCTACAAAAATTTCTATCAAATGTTTCACATGGGTGTGGGACCTACACAATATGAGTTCTGTGATTTGCTAAAACTTTTAATAAAATTTTTGACTCTCTAACATTTTATTTAAATTTTCAGATAAGACAGATTGAGATATTATCTAAGCTAGTCTCAGCTCAAGTTTGGCTAACTTAAAAAATTACACTTATTTCATCTTTTTATCTTTTTTGGGTCACATCAATCAATATCTCCTCTTTACTTTTTCTACACATAATACAAAAAAAATAAAAAAATGCACTTATTTAGTCTTCCCAAACTTGGCCTCAATTTGAAACCCAAACTTATCGCAATTGTCTGAATTGCTTAGATTTGTGATAGATATCATCGGAATTCTTACCATGGTTGTTAGCGGAATCGTGAGGCATATAGCTCTAGATTGTTGGAGATTTCAAAACTATATTTCATTTTCTGGTTTGGGTGTGTTGTTTGATTAGAGTTTTTAAAAATTGATTCTACACTCATTTTTGAAAACATGTCTATCTGGTAATCTTCCGAATATTCCCCAGACATTCGGCCGTTTGACTGAAACAATATTTGTGTTTTTTTTTTTTGACAATTGGTACCTGTTATTTTTTTTTATATTTTAAATAAAAAATATTTTTCAAAAATTTTTAAATTTTTTTATGAATTTTGGATTGTGTGTTTGGTTATGAATTGTAAGTTTTTTAATCAAAAAACTTTTCTAATTTCAAAACTCCATCTAAAACTCAATTCAAAACTCATAACGAAACAAATTTTATCTTTTCAAATCATAATTCCAAAACTCATAAACTCAAAATACAACTCTATTATCAAATCATAATTCTAAAACTCTACCAAACACTTTCGGGTTTGGAATTAATCTACTTGAATTGGTCACTAGTCAAAAAGGATTTGAGTTTGGAAAACATCAAACCAGAAAGGTGTTATGCTCAATCGGGTGAGGAGTACATAAATGTTTTTGGAGAATTTTTTTAAACTCTAAATAGTTCTCTTTTGGGTAAATTATAAATACATTTCTTGAGATTTTTATTAAAATATGAATCGCCCCATGTGATTTTGAAAATTACATTCCACTCATGAAATTTCTAATTTCATAACAAATTGCTCATTTTATTAATAAATCATCAAGTCCATTAACAATTTTTAATGATGTTAAAAATATGTTTCAATTAATAATTTAAGTAATTTTATTATTGTATAGGAGTGGAATTATGAATTTTATTTTTTCAGTTAATTTTGTTAAATAAAAAATTCTAATAAGGGAGTATTTGTAATTTTTCAAATCACAAAAACCAATCTGTATTTTAAACAAAGCTCAGGAGGTATATTTATAATTTACTATTATTTTTTTCCACTTTGAAAAATATAAAAAATGTTTTCTGAATTAAACTCCTATCAATGCCACCACATCACCATCACAACAACCCACCATAGCCGCTGCCTCCAACCCACCCCTTTACAAAAAATAAGTTCTAAAAAAAAATTATGTAAAAAACATTTTTTTATCAAAATAAACTAAAGTTAAGGATATTTTAAGTGGAAAATAAACTGTGTGAAGTGTGCAGATCACAGTGTCAATGCCAAATTCCTGCCTAACTGATTACCTGAAATGAGGAACAGGAAATGTAAACTTGATATAATTCACAATCACAAACATCATTGCCAAATTTCAACAAAATTTCATATAATTTAAACTGTTGAAGAAGTTTTATTTTTCCAATTTTTTGCCCTCAAGATGTTCCACATTCCCACAATGAATGTCTCAGCAGTAATTATTTTTAAATATGGACCAATCAGGCGACAAACACAAAAAATATCATCTCTCTGTCCCACTCAAACCAAAGATGGCCAAAAAGGACACAAACCATTTGCTGAACTTAATCTTCATCTGGATCGTTGAATTCAATTTCCACTTTAGGTGACAAGTGCGGAAATTGTGCCAACTGCTTCAAAATTCTCACTCCTTTGTCAGCAATCTTCTCTGAGTCAGGCTCAATAAAGATTACCTCCAGCACGGGCGATATGGCTAATAGAAGCTTAATAAACTCTAATTCAGAACTTGTGCCAGATAGATTCCAGAAATCCAGGGTTTGAAGTTGGTTTAAAGAGACGTCCAACCACTCTTGCATTTCTAAAAGTTCTAGAACAGGATCAACAGCATTAGTTTCTTCATCGACATATGCCTGTGAAAAAAGAAAGAAAGGGAATTGTCTCAGCCTAAAGATTCAAAATACACATTATAAACATAGGAAATAATAATCTGCCATTACTTACCTGAATTGTAATTTTTTCCAAGTTTGGAGAGCTTCTAATTAAACAAAGAATAAGCAAGATATCATTTAGTTGGCCGAAACACCCACAAAAAGAAACAAAAGAGTGGTTTACTAAGCTAATCTTACCCGAAGATAATAATAGTCCAATTCCAGAAACTCAATGACAGGTAGACTACCAAAAAGCGTCACCAATTTGGAAGTTTCTGCTACCTCAAATTCTTCCACATCCATGGACGCCATTAAACCAATTGCAACGCTTGCAAGCTGAACGGTGTTTTTTAAACAAATAGAACCGGCATGGATTTCGCAGAGTAAGAATCTAAGATTAGGAGCGTTAATTTCAAGGCAATCTATACTGGTGGAGTTTTGAAGTGACAGTCGCTCAAGTAGTGGGCTACTGGAGATTAACCTTGAAAGTATGTCGGCAGTAACAACTACTTCGTAAAGCTCCAGTTCAAGAAGCCTGCTAAATCCTTTAAATTCAGGTGGAGAATTAAATATACAAGAATGGAGAGTCAAAATCTTAAGTTGAAGACATGAAAATAGTGATGATGGCAATTTATAAGGTTCACCATTCTGAATGTTGAGGTTCAATTCCTGGATACCTCTTTTTGAAACGAAAAGTATCAACTGATCGAACTCCGAACAACTTTTCAATCCAGATAAAGAGAGTGTGAACTTGGGTATTGGTCCATGATGAAATAACAGAACTTGATAAATAATCGTCATAAGTTTATCCTTGGTTTTGCTGAACAAGTCGCTGCAGAATGTATCATCAAATACAAGTTGGGGAAGTTTCGTCCAGGTATACCTCCATTTTCTTGACAAAACACTAGTCCTCACCGCATCCTGTATTGGCAAACACGCTAGGATTGTTTCTTTTACACTTTCTGGAAGATTACTAATTATGTCTGAAGTTGGTCGACGCATTTTCTTTATGATTCTCTTTATGTTTCTAACGGTTCTGACAATCAGCAAACTCGACAAAATCAAAGTAACAAGCTCCCCAAGGTAGTGGATTTATTGCGTTTCCTGGCACAAAATAAAAGAGAACAATAAGAAATAGCTAGAATGAGAAGTAGAAAACAATTTCATTTTCTTGTACAAACAATCAACAATCGAATGGGAAACCTAATAATCTCATTAAGAAACTTTTACAAAATTGAAAGAAAAAATGTTAAATACCTGCTGGAACCTGTATGAGTTAAAGGATATTTACAACAAGTCTAATGAATGCTTAACTGGAACTCAAGTAAAAGGAGAAAAATATAACTAACAGAAAAATCTCTCGTGGATTTTTGTAGGAAGCACATAGAAAACAAATAAATATAAATTGACTATCTTTTTTGTGTTTACTAGAAATTAATGACTGGAAATAATAATAAAAAAAAGGATTTATTCTCTAAGCAACAAAAAACAAATAGAACACGAGGACAACTAATTTAAAATGTAAATTGAAGAAAGTAAAATGAATTTGCCCATCTTAACATGATATATTTTCATATTTTTTTGGGGATAAATAACATGATATATTTTCATTAAATACTCTGAATTTCTATACTAACTAGCAATTAACTAGAACCAACTAAAATAAGTTAGTAGTATAAATATTTCTTGAATGCTAATATGGTAAGTAACAAGATAGATAGAACTTTACTAAAGATATTACTATTGCATAAACCTATGATTCTAAATTTTTGAGATATTAATGGTTTGTATTAATAGGTTCTTCTTTGTTAGCAAAAACAATGCTTGTCCACATTGTTTTGGCTCTCTTGGTGCTCCCAAACCCTTTGAACCTAGTAAGAAGCATTTGAATGCAGTCCCGTGGAACAACCCACTGATCATCACATAAGCCGAAAAGCCACTGCCATAATACAAAAGCCACTGGGCAATGAAGGAATAAATGATCCACTACTTTCGAATTCCTTTTGCACATCACACACCATTGAGAACAAAGAGAATGATTAGCCCTTCTTCTTTGGAAGACATCATTAGTTGTGACCCCCTTTTGAGCCAAAGACCACATGAAAAACTTCACTTTATGAGGGGCAACTGCTTTCCAAATTTTCTTATGAATAGGAAACAAGGGAACAAAGGGATTATTAACAAGCTTATCAAAAAAGGATTTACGGCAAAAGGCCCTTGAAGAAACAAGATTCCAAACCCTAATGTCACAGGAGGAAGAAAGAGAAACCCCCTCAAGCAATACCAACAAAGATGCAAACTCCACAGCCTCCCTATCATTCAAGTTTCTAATGAGATCAAAATTCTAAGAGATGGATGCCATATAAGAGCATGCCACCAACGCTATCAAAACATTCCGAAAATGAACCAACCAATAAAGAAGAGTAAAAGCACTAAGCGATATATCCTCTAACGAAACATCCTCCCAAAAACGGATGGACAACTCATTCCCCACTCTCAATGAAAGGAAGTTAGACATAAGTGGATACAAACGAGAAATAGACTTTCACGGTGGATGACAATTGCCTTTATTAACCATGTTAGAATCTCTAACATTGGGTTCCTTCTTCTTTGGAAGACATCATTAGTTGTGACCCCCTTTTGAGCCAAAGACCACATGAAAAACTTCACTTTATGAGGGACAACTGCTTTCCAAATTTTCTTATGAATAGGAAACAAGGGAACAAAGGGATTATTAACAAGCTTATCAAAAAAGGATTTACGGCAAAAGGCCCTTGAAGAAACAAGATTCCAAACCCTAATGTCACAGGAGGAAGAAAGAGAAACCCCCTCAAGCAATACCAACAAAGATGCAAACTCCACAGCCTCCCTATCATTCAAGTTTCTAATGAGATCAAAATTCTAAGAGATGGATGCCATATAAGAGCATGCCACCAACGCTATCAAAACATTCCGAAAATGAACCAACCAATAAAGAAGAGGAAAAGCACTAAGCGATATATCCTCTAACGAAACATCCTCCCAAAAACGGATGGACAACTCATTCCCCACTCTCAATGAAAAGAAGTTAGACACAAGTGGATACAAACGAGAAATAGACTTTCACAGTGGATGGCAATTGCCTTTATTAACCATGTTAGAATCTCTAACATTGGGTTGAACTCCATACTCGCTTTTAACAACTGAACACCATAGTGAATCACTGTCAATAAGAAATCTCCACAACCACTTGCCCAAGAGAGCAATATTCCTAGCAACAATGTTCCCTATAGCTAGAATCTTTGGTGGCAAGGAATCAGTGTAGAAGCTTTGTGGGATAGGGCTGGATATTTGGCTTTGTTTTAGACATTTGTATCCCCTCCTTTTAAAGGAGTCCCTTTGCTCTTGATCTCTAGGGATTGGGCTGATGTTTGCCATCCCTAGGGCTAGGAATTTTGTACTTTTGTTTTGTTCCTTCTCTTTCTTTGTATGGCGACTTCTTGTCCTCTTTCACTTTTCTTTTTTAATAAAATTTTGTTGATGCTCAAAAAAAAAAAAAAAAAAGGTTCTTCTTTGTTTCTTATATGCTTCTTTGAATAATACAAATTCAACTAGGGTTTTAAGTCTTTTAACTAGGATTTATACAAATAGGAGGATTGTTCAACTTGGGTTTAATTCTTTCAACATTGAAGTTGCAGGAGAAGGAAGGGGGGAGGTGGTGGTTTTGTGGTCGTTGAGCATGGAAAAGGTTACCAAATATTGCTAACCTTGATAAAATTTGAGGTTCAATAGGTACGGTGGAAGTTCGGGAGGCATCTCTTAAATGAGATATATGTTTGGGGAGTTTGAGAGGAAAACAATTGTTGGAACGTCGTGGCCTACAAAATAAGCGGGCAGGTTTGTGGAGGTGGTTGGTCTGCAAGGCTGTACTTCCTAGAGTCAGATTTTGGAGATGGATAGGAGGGGATGGTTAGCAGAGATGCCTTTGGAGTTCAATATGGGAGGGGTAGCATTGTGTGAAGAAAACAAAGAAATTCCTGCAGCAGGCTCTGTCTCTCTCTTGATAGGCAGATAGACTCAATTGATTCCTTTATGCTCATAGTTGTTGACTCTTTTATTGCAAAAGACATTCCTACCAACAAGTTGATTCCTTATTGCATTACCTATTGCTAATTGATATTATAACTATAATTGTTCTAATGTCCCCAGACATGAAAATTAGATGAATCCGATAGAGAGTCAATAAAACACAAGTCAATTCTCATCACGAAATCAATGAGCAAACCAAACTAAACCTTGAGCCCAGATCAAGTGGGATCAGCAATATGAATACTTTGTTATTTTGTTTTGTGAAGGGTTATATGCTTAGTTAAATAAAATAAATACTTATCATTTTTACTATCATATCTCAACTCAATTTAGGTCTTCTCCTCCCCCTTACATTTCCATTTACAGTGATCGTAATATTTTTCCTGGTCGTTGGTTCTATGACTCTTCATTGACATAATTAATGAGCAAATTTGAAAAAAAAAAAAAAATCAACTTCGTTGCATTCTTATAAACGACAAAAAAAACTTTAACCCATTAAAGTCAATAAGTTGTGATACCATGATTAGGCTCAATTTTGGCTTCATTAAAATTTCACCTCAACTTCTTTAAGCATGGGAATAACAATCCCAACAGTCTGCAAATTTCTTGGTAAGGAGAAGTTGTGTTTCAACCACCTTCCTCACCAAACTAGCTAAGTTCAAATCTATACATGAGATGGCTCAATTTGTTTTTATGGAAAGTATTCCAAATGATTCCACCAATATAACAAATCTAATCAAGTCCTTTTGTAAAACTTCATGTGGAAGTTCCCATCACTTTTAACCAAGACAATAATAAACACTCATTTTTTTTATTTTTTTAAATTATTAAAAAGCAATTACTAAAAATGATATCCATCAAAGTTTTCATATTTATAGAGGGATAATCAAATAAAATAGAAAACAGAAAAAATAATTGCAAATTAATGGAGTGCAAGTGAGACATACCTGATACAAGTGAGAACTATGCAAAAAATGGCACAATTCTTAATTGCTCCATTGATTTGCAATTATTTTCTATGCTTCCTGTTTGTCTTATATTCCCCTAATTTTATATGTTTAGTAACGTTTATGTTTACTGCAGTGTGCAAGTGAGGCACACCCGGTACAAGTAAGAACTATGCAAAAATGGAAAAATTCCCACTTGCACTACATTGATTTGCAATCATTTGCCATGTTTTCCATTCCTAATTTTATATGTTTAGTAACATTTATGAACTCATTTAAGGTTTCAATTTTCCACTTCTAGGCAATGACTCATCTTTATTGATGGGAGGATATATCAAACGGAATTCAAATTGTAAACCTAACTAGACCGAGACTCATTTACACTATGTTGCATTGTCAGTCTTTGTCTAATTTGTATTTGATTGGAGAATATGTAAGGGAATTAGAACTATAAACCCAACTAGACTGTGACACCTAATTAAGATTGTTGGATATGTTTGGTTGTATTCAATTAAATGGACGGTATTCCATGTGCGGGCACCTATGATGATGCTTGGTCAGTTGTTGAGTATAACTGTCCCACTGTTTGATCTGAACATTTTGTCCTTTCGTGTACTGACCCAACACACATGACATGCCACTACTAGTGCACGAGACTGCCTCCAGCCGCCTAATTTCTGAATCGAGGTAAACTTTTCCACTTGGATTCTAATAAAAAGAATTTATACCACCAATATATTCTAAATCTTAATATCAAAATCCCACAATTAAGTCTAATTGTGCGCATAATTTAGTTGATAGGAAAAGGCTACCATGTGCACCCGAAAGAGGGTGCATATAGTATGCACCTTATACAAGAAGTATAAATTTTTCACATCATAACTTTACTATTCATAGTTTTCACCACAAAAATCAGAACTTCCATTAAAAAAAATCAAAACTTTCACCACAAAAATCACAACTTTTCTTACAATGTGCAAATGCACA